GCTGGCTGGAGCTTGACTAGGTGGTCACATGGCATCCACAGCAAACACAGGGAGATGAAGGTTGTTGTTCCATTTACTTCATTTTTATTTAAGCTGGGACCCCATCCACATTCAGTATAGTTCTTTTCACCTCGGCTAAACCTCTCTAGAAACTCACGGACAAGTAACTCAGAATTCTATAAGGTTCATAATAGAAATTAGCCATGGCATTCACCCATTTACTTTCTTAGAGGTCTTCATTGAATAGCCTTGAGATTGTTGGTGAGAGATTGATTTTTAAAAACCAGTTAAAATTAGAACTCATATTTTAAAATCATGCTAATACCTTAACCACTCTTTTTAAAGATAAATTCTATAAATGCACACTGTTAAAGTAAGGCTATGGTAGTTCATTTTAATGTCTGTCCCTGACTGGGTTGCTACATTGAAATTCTTATGGACTTCAAAAGCCTCATCTGTGTGAATAATTTCTTCAACAGAGCCAAAAACTTAAAGCCATTTGCAATGCTGAGTATAGAACCCTATAACTTTACAATTTCCCAAATCTTTCTTTTTCCCTCTTTCAAAAATAAATTATTTAGGTTTCAGATTTATCAAATCCTTAAAAGATAATGTAACTACCACTCATTTTTATACTTGATGTTAGTAATTATAGTAAACACAAAAGTCACAAAGTGAAGTCAGATATGGTGGCACATGGCTATAATTCCTGCATTCTGGAGGCTGGGCCAGGAAAATCAACATTCAAGGAGAGTCTGGGCTACAGAGCAGGATCCCTTTCCCAAACAAGCATGCATGAATAAATCACCAATAAGCTCTGAGATAAGCTCAATTGACTTTTGATAAGCCAAGGGCTCAGCTGGTAGGAACAAGTGCTGATCAGTGGTTAAGTAGAAGTTGAGACAGAAGACCTTGGCAGTGTATGCAGAAAGATGCCATAGGCTTGTTTACCTGTTCATAGTTAATGTTTTCCTGAACTGTGCCCATCTTTTGCATAGATTAGATGGACATTCGTGTCGGGGTCTTATTTTTCCTTTGGCTATCCCACTTACCCGCATGTACTTGTGTTTAACATATATCACACATACGATGTTACTTGGATTTCTCCTCCACTGAAGGAGTCTCTATTTCCCTGAACTTGTTCAAGTCCAAACACTTTTGTAATTTTATTTAAGTTCTTTCTGGTCCTCATGGACTTTCCTCAAGAGTTCAGTTTATATCGAACTATTTAGATACAGTTTTTGGGTGCAGCCATTCAAAGAGCTTGCTGTTTAGTTCCCAGCACCCACACCTGGTAGCTCACAATCACCTAAAACTCCAACTCCAAGGGATCCGACACCCTCTCCTAGCCTCTCTGACACTTACATATAGGTGGAACACACACACACACACACACACACACACACACACACACACAAATAAAATAAAATTTCAACTACAATTCTTAAAATACGCTGTTTTGCATTGACTTCCTGATGATTCTTCGACGTTCTGTTCCTGTACTGACTCCCAGATATACTATTCCCCCAATTACATAATTAGCTCCCCAAGGTAGGCTGTCTTTATACTCCCTTAGAAGCCTCCCAGAATATAACTCCCATCAGAGTTCCTGCCAAGGCAGTCACCTGTAGAATTTCATGGTATCAAGAAAATGATTGTTCACTAACATTTTGATTAGCAATGGGCAATGTGGTCAAAATATTACAAGCAAAGAAATAAGAGAAAAATATGGTTCTGTATCTTTAGGTTAATTTTTCTCTTCCCATGTTTACTAAGGTAGAATGGTAGATCTGGCTCATAAGCTTTGAGATATGATTGAAGCTAAGGGGCTTTACTTAGAAAAGTAAAATAAAGGCTCAAATACAGAATCTTACAATTTCTGGAAACACTCAACAGGTTAGATCCTAACATTGATAGTGGTAAGTGATTCTTCCCAGTAAAGCGAATCACTGAAGGAGTATACCCTGATTATTTGAATTGACTCCTTGAATTTTTGAGTAGCCATTGCTGACTCTTATGTGTCCTGCCCAAACACTCTTGCCCAATCACTCCAAAGGTAAGCCATTTATCTCCTGGCCTTCCTTCTTGGAAAGTGCTACAGGATGAGTCCTGCTGATGGCTGGCCCTCCACACCCAGACTCGGGCAACTTCTCTTACTCTGGCCTTTTCATTGTTGGGGAAAGTGCCAGGATAGTGTTGCTATGGTGACTTGACTGCAAACATTGTAGTTAGGATAAATTCCCTCCAGTGGAAGAAGATAAAGCTATTGTTGGGGATGGTTTAAGACAATCCCCCTGCCAGGCTATCTCTCTCAACCTCACCTTTGTACTTTGTACCTCAAGAGACCCTGGAAACAATGAATTGGAGAACTCAGTACAAAACCAGAGGCAAAGTGTTAAAGGCTTTCAACTGTTATTCAATCTCTGTGAACTATAGATTGTGAAAGTAAATGTTAATGATTTCCATAATTTTTGTTGGAAGTAGGCTTTTGTGTGTGTGCATGAAATGAGCAACGAATATATAATCCTCCCTTCCTCTCCTACCCCGGCAACTTTTGCATGAAGATGAAGATGGCGGCAGATATTTGCAAGTAGCTCAGGGTAAACAACAGCACACCCAGAGAAGAGATTAGAGTTCTTTCCTCTGGAAATAGCACAAGGGAAGCTTAGCAATAATAGGAGAGTTTTATCTAAAGCCTACATCTCTCCTGACTTCACTTTTTGGTATCTCCAGTGGTTTTCCTCTGTGAAGTGATTCTGTGCTAATGTGAATTTGCAAATGAGTTTCCTTCACTCACTCAGCTTTGCTCTTTGATGATAAAAATCGTTTTAGAGAAGAATTCCACCTTTAGGACAAGACAGAGAAGAACTGAACCCTGTTTCCTCCAGTAGGTACCCTGTGATTTTTCTTTGTCTCCAGAACAGACAGACACTGTCAGCTCTTAGCTACTTGGCATGGGAAGTAGGAAGTCTCTACTTCTTGCACTTTTAGTAAATCTCACTGGTGAAAAACCAGGCAAGTTCATTTAAGAAATGGAGTCCATCCAGGCTTCTCCTTTTATTTCTTTTCCTGATATGCTCTTCACAAAAGGCAAATGCAAGCATGCTTTTTTTTGTACTCCTTAAACACCTGTGAATAGGGGAGGTATAACACCAGAGAGGACCAGGGAACCAGCTGAAGGTCTTATAATTGCTCTCTACCCACCATCACCACAGATTTTAATCCAGCATGGAGTTTTTAAATCTAACCTCATCTCTTCAACCCAAGGTGGCTTTAACAGTTCTCAGCTGTGACTTTGTTAAGTGTCTGGCCCTTTCAGAGCTTTAGTTTCTATTTTTATACTAAAAACAGAAGCAAAAAATTGAGATGTTTGATGTAGTGCTTACTACAGAGGGTAGCTGGAAGTGGAAAATGAGTTCAGGAATCAGAACAATAGCACTTCCAAACATGTTGTCAGTACTGGTATTAGCAGTCATTAACACAAACCCTCCAGTTAGGCCCCCAGCTAGGCACTGTCCTTCCCAACTTTCACTTTGAGTTTCTTACTACCTACATGATCTTTTTCCTCCCCTCTAGATAGAAAATCTAGATAGAGGAGCTACTCTGTCCAAGAGTGACATAGCATAGGCCTATATGAAGTTTATGTTTTAATTGTGGCATTATGAAGGTAGAAGGACAATGCAAACTTTAAACATTTTAAAGATATATTTATTTTGTTATTTTATGTGTTGTGAGCATTTTGCCTGCATGCATGTGTGTGTACCATTTGTGTGCCTGACATCCCCTAGGACTGGAATCACATACAAGTGGTTTTGAACCACCACGATGTGGATGCGGGGAATTGAACTCAGGCCCTCTGCAAAAATAAGTGTTCTTAACCACCAAACCAACTCTCCAGCTCATGAAAATGAATTTTAATAAGAATATTTCAACTTGTAATATCCAAAATATTATTGATTCAACATGAATTCAATATAAAGATAATAAATTTTATGTTTACAAATGAGATAATTTTCATTTTGTTAAAAAACCTTTTGCACTTATAGTACATCTTAATGCAAGCTGACTAAGCTTCAAGGGCTCGATAGCCACATGGGTAAGGAGTACAGTATGGAATGTGCAGTAAGCAAGCAACTATGAGTTCTTAACTACAGAAGCAAATAAGTCCTGTCAATCATGGATGGCATGTATTTACAGCAGGATGCCAGAGGGGACGCTAAGAATATATATTTCATGTCATCTACATGGCAGTACCCTTATCTAGGTCCCAGTGTTATTCACATTTTACAGATGGGGAAACTGAGAAGCAAATATGTTAAGGAGCAGCTCGCAAGTAGCAGAGCTCGGATGTGAAATTGACTCTATTCAACTCCAGAGGTTACACTGGCTCTGTGCACGCTGCTTCATTGATTGAAAGTCTAAATGAAGATCGACTTTCTCCGCAAGGCCCTCAGAAGGACATGTGAAAACTCAACACATTGACACAGACGTAGTTTATAAAGACTGTGAATGTCTGTGAGCGTAGTCATCATGGGTGTTCCCATGGCAATTCATGACATCAGTCACCCTATAAAACTTGTATTTGTTTACTCATGAGCAGATTGTAAAAAGACGGAAGCTCTGCTCTCCTGACCTCTAGGAATGAGACTGCCAAGGGGAGGCTTGTTTAGTGACCATCTGGAACAGTGGAGTTCTTGCCGATGAATTCTCCCACACGGGGGTCTTTTCATCCTGGTCAAGGCCAAGCAGACAGAAGTAGATGGCCTCTAAGCAGTGCTTATAGCTGGCCCTAAAGATGATCTACTTGCTTTTATTGGCAGACGCTTACAGCTGGTGACGTTATGGTTTGAAAGCAGGATCACTTTCATATAGGAAATGTTAACTCACTTTATGAGCTCTGTTCTCAAGAGTGAAAATGGTGTTAGCTCCCGGTGGCCAGCTAGCCTCTTTTCCCTATGGTATTTCTGAGCTGTTGCTTTTCTTATTTTTAATCATTAAAGGCCAGATTTTGACAAGAGCTGGACCATAATCCAAGATCGACTGCAGATGGACTCCATGGTTATCAAAGGCCTTGATCCAGATACCAACTACCGGTTTGCTGTGAGAGCCATGAATGCCCATGGCTTCAGCCCACGCAGCCTACCCAGCAACACCATCCGAACCCTGGGTGAGTGCTGTAACTGTCCTGCAGATCATGGACAGCTGTGCCGCTATGGTCAACTCTCAGAGCCTCACATGCCCAACTGACGAACAGCCTGGGATAGGACTCTCCTCAGGCTTCCTCCTGCAGTTTTCCCAGAACTTGGAAGGTTCAGTTCTCCACAGGGACACAGGCTATTTCTGTTCCTAGGCAGTCAGGGAAGGTTTATTTTTGCATCGTCCTTGGGGAGTCTGTGGTTGGTTTTTGTTCACAATCATGGACTAGATCACATAGCAAATGAGATGTATCATCTCTGACTGCCTCTCATCTTTTGAGAAGGTGAGCTCATCTTGGAACCCTGGGGGGAAGGGACTAAGACCCCCTACCCCAGACTCTTCAGGGTCAATGATTGCTTGCCAATCAAGGACTTTCAGCTGAGTGTGGTGGACCCCTGTAATCTTGTCACTTGGGAGGCTGAAGCAGGAGGATCTGTGCTAATTTAAAGCCAACCCAGGATACTTAAACAAACACAAACAAAACAAAAGGACCTTCAAGTCACATCAATCCCTCTAAGTGGTGGTCAACAACTCTCAAAACCGATGCTGGCATGCTAACACAACTTGGGAGACTAAGCTAACTGTGTACATTCTCAAGGTGCCTCTGGGGATCTCGAGGACACTTAGGGTAATGTTGAGCAAATAAACTGAGGATTTTCTTCAAAGTCAAAGCATGTCTCTGGTCTGGGGTTAAGCAAGTTGTCACATGATGTCAAAAGTTATACTTTCATTAGAAGGTTTCAAGGAAGCATGCCAAATCCAGCCCAGGCTAGCTTCTAAGTCTTTGTACTTTGAAAGTGGGGTCACATTTATATAAACCTAGAACCATGGGTAGTGAGGTCTCAGAAGGGGTCTTGAAAGCTCTACATCTTTGCAGTTCAGCCCTGGAATTCTTCCAGAAGAGTCCTACAGCTGCTGCAGGCCTAGTTTACCCAAGAGGTGGGTTCCAAAAGGGAAGTCCACCCTGAGTAGTTGGTTTCCCATTGGCTTGCACAAAGCCCCATTTTTGTTGTTAGGATCTGAATAAACCCCTCCCCCATAAAATCCCCACATAGATGCCTTCCAAGACTAATGTTATTTCCAGGAAGAGATCCGCTAGGATCCACCAGTCCTGCGATTCGTGTTCTTCTATACACAGTATTTATCCTGTAACCTTCGATGGTGGGGTTCCCTTCTTCAAATTGAATTGTGAGGCTATGCAGGGAGACCTCACCTCTAAAACTACTCCTTATCTTCCTATTTACCCACCACACAACTGCTACAATGGGGTAGTTGTTTCCCTTTTCATCAGAATGGAGAAGATGCCCAAGCAGACTCTTCAAATGAAGACCCTTCTTTCCACAAGCCATGCTAACAGCTCTATTTCAAGGGCAGGCCTCCTTCCATGCTTGCTAAATGTGCTCTCCTCTGTCATCCTAAATTGGTCAAAGTATAGATAACGGGAGCTAGGGGCTCACGGTACTTCTGAACACTTAGGCTGTCTCTTGTATGCATTCTGGCACTTGGTGTGTGTGTTCACTGCTCCTCCCCAGCCCTTGAGGCAAAGCTTTTCTGCTCCATGGCCTCTATCTGTCCACAGAGTGAAGAAAGATGATGTGTGTGGCTCAGGCTGACCATGACCTTGGATGTGGGAGTGCACATTAGCTTAAGGAACAGATGAGTGTGTGGGTAGACCATCCATCCCTTTAGAATTTCCTTTTTTTTTTAAGTGAATAACTGATGTGGTCTTTGAGGTTCTGATCATTCTTTCCTCCATTTCTCGATTCTAGTTTTAATGGAAAAGGTGGAGGAAATGCAAACCAGCAAACAAAATAAGGTGGGAGATGCAAAAACACTTTACAAATGTGGGATGTTTTATTCTATTTTTGACTCCCAGGGAAAGTGAAATTTTATAATTTCATAGTAATTGTGTGCAAAGAAGGATGGCAAAGACCCACAAACAAACAAGCAAAAAATAAAACAACAAAAAAAAATCCCAAGCCTCAGTGAACCTTCATGATAGTTTTTTTTGTTGTTGTTTGGGATGTCTGTTTTGTTTTGGTTTTGAGACCTTATCTCAAATAGGTTAGGCTGGCCTCCTATTCCCTATGTAGTTAAGGATGACCATGAACTTCTGATCCCCTTCCTGAGTGCTAGGTATTAATGCCATGCTGGGTATTAAACCCAGGACTTCCTCAAACAAAACAAGCACTATAGAAACTGAAGTATGTTCCCAGCCTGTCACATTAACAAATATCCTTAAATAATTAGAGATCTGCTGCTCCTACATATGTGTGACTACTCAAATCAGGATAACAGGAGTAGACTTTATCAGATGAGCCATGGCTTGGAAGCATATAAATGTGCTGTTGGTAATGCTCTGGTTGTTTTCCTCTTGGCTACACTACTGTCCAAAAGAAACCTTTATTCTCACACATTCTTGTTCTTAATTGGTATTGGTTTTAAATTATATTGCTTCCAAAACACATTTTCCTTTTCCATGCAAAAGTCACACACTTACCAATTAGCACTATCTGAGTCTTAATGAATTTGAAGTGTTAGGTTAGGGCTGACACTGGTAAGCCCGCTGTAAACCAGGCCTTTTGCTGACCACTTGAATTATGTGAAATCCACTCATTCCTTCCAGAAACCCAGGGTGGGAGGGATAGCCCCCACTTCTTACAGATGGAGAAAGATAGCATCTCTGAAAGGTTAAAAGTGTTCTCAACTCTGATAATTATGCAGGCAGGACTTAAAGTTGGGCTTGCTGACGGCATAGCTACTTCATATGACTCAAATGGATGGACTCTTTCTGTTAGCTCACAGTAGCCCAGCAGAGATTCAGGTCAATAACTCAGTGGCGCGGGGAAGGGTGGTCTGTGTAGAAACTGAGGACTAGGGAGGTGCTGGCAACACAGAATCCAGCTTCCAACAGCTGCATTTAGTTCCTTTTTCCCTTTCTTTATAAAACAAGTCATCTTCTTTGTATCTCCTGTAGTCATATTTGCAGTCTGTGTTCCCTGACAGCCACTTCTATATTCACCATGCATCTCATTTCTTATTTTTTATTATTATTTTGAGAATGTTGCAGAAGTATAGTTGTACAGTATGGAACTGGCACATCTTAGCTGTTCTTGGATCTGTCTGATAGTGATGGGAGGAGGCCAGGGCCCTGCCACTGCTCAGCCAAAGCGAAGACAGCATGGTTTGGGTGGAGCCTTGACAGGCATGGGCCTCACCTACTTCAGCCTCATCCAATCACAAAATGGAATGGGAAGAAAACAGAAATAATTAAGACTCTCAATATCTGGTCCTCTCTGGAGAAGCAGCGTTCTTCCGATCACTCTTAATGACGACGCACTCTCCTGCATTTACCTCAGGCTTCTCACAATTCGGTTCCCTTGTTGTTTCCATGAGACGACGGAAAATTAAATAATAAATAAATTTTTAAAAGACTAAAATTCTCTTCTCTGGCTTCTTATCCACATCCTGCTGTATTTTTTTTTTTAATTCCAGGAGAGAAACACCAACAGCACTATACTTTGCCTTTGATCTTGTAAATGACTAATTGGTATGGCAAGCTGGGGGTCTTGCAGCATGTGAACACACCCCTTCTGGTGGCCGCTTACCCACTGAGCTCCATTCTTAGCTTAGTCAGGAAGCATTGGGACAGGAAAGAAAGGACATGAACAGTAGATAGGGCAGAAACAAAGTGCATGTATTCATTCTTTTCTTCATAGACAAACATTTAAGTAAAACCAATACACGTATAATCAATCCTAAAACTTCCCCTGAGGAATGGCCTTCCCACCCCAAATCATTTAATTTCTAATGTTCCATCCTTGTAACATAGTCAAAGAAAGAATCAATAAATTCTTTACTGAAGTGGATCTGGGGTCCTCAGGGTAGTCTCCCATAGATGTATTCTTTTTGTCCCTGCCAATTGTCAGCTTGCTCCTACTGCCTCAGGGTTTTGGCACCTGCTGTTTCCTCTGCATGGATCTCTCTTTTCTCAGATCTTTCGGTGACTGTGACAGCCCTCTCTATTCTGTGTTTAGGTCATAGCTCACTTCCTTGGGCTTTTGCTATCTCCACGCCCCTGCTTCATTTTCTCTCTAGCAATGTCACTGTCTGAAACTATTGTATGTATCCCATTATGTGTGTCTCCCCTGACAATAAACTCCTTGTTGGGGCTGGAGAGTCTTGGTCAATGCTGACTGTCCAACCCCCTCCACCATGTTAGCACTCAATAAATGCTATTGAGTTCACGTGTGAGTGTGACTTAACCAGCCAAGAGGCTGTTTTGGAGGTTAAGTGACTGCATGACTGATGTCAAGGCAGAGGCAGGCAAGGGTGATCTAGAAGACCACGTGGTTCCAAAGTGAGCCTCCAAGCGGCAAAGATCTTAGGCATAAACATCAAAATCTCCAGAACTACAATGTGACAGAAATAAGGAAAAAGTAAATAGGATAAAAGAAGAAGGCAGGATAAAGGGAAGAGAGAGAGAAAGTACCCCAGGGAAATTCAAATTCAAGGCCTAGGGATGGAAAAGAAGTCTTGCTGAAGGGACAGTAGGAGAAATATTTACATCCTATTCCAAACCAAGCCCTCCATTCTCCCCTATGATCTTTCTTAACCATCAGAAGAAGCTCTAATGTTTCTTTGTCTCATTTGCCACTGGTCCTAATAAGTCTCACAGTGGTCTCAGATCTTCAAAGACCTTGTAGAAATGTTTTGTTTGGGTTTTTGCCCTCTCCCCAATCCAAGTTTTTCTGCAGTTTTAGACCTTCCTCTCCCAGTTATCTGAGACAGATCCACATGGTTACAATTAGTCAGACTTCTACAGTAAATACTTCTCACATCCTCCCCATCCTTCCCAGTGTCTGGTGATATCTGTTTCTATCTTCGATGGCTCACTGTCTCTGTGTGTCTCTGACTTTTGCTCACTTCTGCTCAGAGACTGGGACCCTTAGTTTTACCTTCCCAACTATC